GAATAATAAAACTGTATAATTTTTTGTGGCTTTCCGTAGCCATGCTGTTCCTGTTCTTATTGTAACTTTTTTATTAATTTCTGCAGTAATTATGCCACCATCTGCTTTGGATCAACTCAGTAAGTAATTTTCATTCTATTGTAAGAACACTAGAAATTTAGTGCTGTGTGTATGTGTAGGCAAACAGCAGAAAATGCTTTATATAGTCATTAAAATGTGATTTAGAAAGATATACTGGAAAAATCCATACTTTGAGGATTTTTTTACATAGTTTCTAAAAGGGTTTTGTTTTATCTGCACATAGTTCAAATGCAAAGCAGACAGTTTTAAGTGTTCTAACAGCTGCCTGACACTAGTATCAACTCTTAAATTGATGAAATTATCATGCTTTATCAATAATTTCAAATATTTGTATGTGTTTGCCACCTTGGTTCTGTTGTCTTGGCCTCCACTGACTGAAGTGAATTCACAAAGTTTATTTTATAAGTAGAAGAATGGAGGTTCTAGACACTAAGCTGGGTTTCTTCCATTTATGCGGGTCTGCTAGAAGTCAATAGTTTTAGTATACCAAATATATCAAACAGTCTTTCCTCCTTTTACTAGCTAAGGTGTCTTCTGTCTGATCTTTATCTCCTTTAATAAGTTGTTTGTTGGAGGTGGGGTACTTGGAAAGACTCTCAATTTCTCTAGGATATTGTCTATTTATCCTGCTAATATTCAGTCTCTGCAGCCTTTATAAATCTACTATGAGTTTTATAACATATTGTATCTTTTTTACCCTTCTGCCAGGTCGACTTAACATTACATACCCAATGTTATTTAAGCTGACCAATAAAAATTCAGATCGAATGACACATTGTGGTGTGCTAGAATTTGTGGCTGATGAAGGCATTTGTTACCTTCCACATTGGGTAAGTGGTTTTACACCAAAGTGTCAGAATTTAAAGTACAGGATTAGTGGGGTGATGTTAAAGTAGAATATTTGCTAGAATATTTGCTGAAATTGTATTTCAGTTGCAGAGTCAACACTCGTTGGTGTTTCAGTTACAGCTAACACTTTCTTCTGAGTTAATCAGTGTAGGTTGTTGCCTGTATGAGGTTGCATATTCGCAAGGGAAATTCCATCTGAAAGTTATCTGTTTCTGTTGCATAGATACTTATACAGTGTCCTGTCTTTGTCTCCAATATTCTTTGCAGATGATGCAGAACTTGCTTCTGGAAGAAGGAGGCCTGGTGCAGGTAGAGAGTGTTAACCTTCAAGTGGCTACTTATTCAAAGTTTCAACCACAAAGTCCAGACTTCCTTGACATCACCAATCCCAAAGCTGTGTATCCTTTCACTTCATTCCGGAAAAGGAACAGAAAGTGCTTTGGCACTAGTTTACCCTAAACAGGAGAGAAAAGGTTGGGCAGCTTTTCAGCATTGTTTGTATACTTCTATTAGCATTTTACTGTTACTAGGGCCATCTCTGAAAACTTAGGGGTATGAGAATGAAATCTGATAGGAGCCAGAGAGTGATGTGAATTCCCTGTGGGGAAAAAAGGCATTCTTCTAAATGAGAGCTTAAGGAAGTGGAAACAAATCCTGTAGTCCTTGCTCAGGCAAACATTCTGTGCACCAAAGAATAAAAGCCTAAATAGGGAATAAAGGATTTTTCCTTAAAATGAATCAGTGAGAACTGCTAGGTAGTTGGCTTATCTATAAATAGACCACTAGTTCAGAAGCTTAACTGAAGTAATTTTAAAAAAAATTCTGGGCCTTTATTTTCCAGACAGTATGAATAGGTAAGAAATTGTGGTGTGAAGCACAATGCCTTGTTTTACTATTTGGAGGACTTTATTGGGTTTCCCTAAGAACATCTATAAAGGATGTTGAATTTCTAATACTTACTAAACTGTCGATGGTACTCATATTTTAAGTCACATGTAAGAGAGCTGGAACATTTGTTGATGTATAACTTGAATACAGGCAGTCCCTGGGTTACATGGATCCGACTTACATCGGATTCCTACTTACAAACGGGGTGAGGCAACCCCGCACTAGCTGCTTCCCCCCAGCAGACCAGGGAGACGCGGAGCGGCTTTTCTCAGCAGACACCTCAGCTTGAGAATAAAGGACTGTGGGAAGTGAGGTGTGGGAGAATAAAACTGAGCTCTGGAGAAATGTTTGGCTAGAGTTTCCCCTACAATATGTACCAGTTCCGACTTACATACAAATTCAACTTAAGAACAAACCTACAGTCCCTATCTTGTACGTAACCCGGTGACTGCCTGTATTACACTGAAAACAATCATACAGTTCTTAACATGATCCAAAGACTAGAAAATGCTTTGAGAAACTTTGCTTGTCTAACCACTGGGGATGTTATTGCCATCAACTACAATGAGAAGGTATGGTATCTAGTGTAAATAACATTATCTAACTAAACCTGCATGCAATCCTAGGAAACACAAATCATGTCTCTGCGTATGTATAGCATGGAACCCTAAAAATACATTTATAGAATCACATAATTTGCAGATACTCACATTGAGCGTCAGTAGTAGCTGAACAGGAGACCCATGCAGTCTTTTGTTCAGCTTAAACTACCATCCTAGTTCACCCATTTTTCTGCACAAATTTGTGAATGGACACTGTGTGAGCTACATGTCAGAAGCAAATAGACCCAATGAAGAAAGATGTAATAGCTCTGAAAACAGCTTCTCAGGGACTTTGGACATCTCAAGGAAGCAGGCGGGACCTTCCCCAGGGCTAGGTATCCCATGGCTAATAGGACCCAGATTTTCAGTCGCTAAAAATGCAAAAATCTATGGTAGCTTCACCTGTACTTTTCTTTTTAAAAGAGATCTTTTTTTAATTCTGAGAATGAGAAATGCAGTCAGTTCTTTAATTTCTGATCTCTGACACTTTGAATTACTGAACTATTTTAAATTCAAATTAATTTTGCTTCTGGAGAAAATACTTATTTGCCAGGATTCAGCTCAGCTTAGATAACTTATGGTTAAATTATAAATCATTTCAGATAAATGATTATTAGGAGCAAAATAGACTCTTAGCAATGGTAAAACTTTAGAGGACCATTTTATCATACATTAATACATGTATTCTGCCTCACCCTAACTTGTAGCTGGTTTTTGGAAACTGGAAGTAAGGAGATTCAGAATCAGATAACTGGCCTCTGACCAAATAAATCCCTCTACTTGTATTGAGAGGCAACAAAAAATTCAGTGTAGTCCTCCATTTTGAAATATGGTCATGGTGGTGACACCCAGAGGTCCTTATCTGATTGAACCCTTTGTTGTGGTACATGTTGTATAAACAGAGATAGACACAGTCCCTAATCTGAAGAGCTTACAGTCTATTGGAACAAATGGTCTCCATTGTGAGAATGTTGTCCAAGTTTCTTTATCAATTTACACACCAAGAGGAATGGCTTTATATTATTCATTCTCCTGTTTCAGATCTACGAGCTCCGGGTAATGGAGACCAAACCTGATAAAGCTGTGTCCATCATAGAGTGTGATATGAATGTAAGTTGAAATTTTTGTGACAGGATTTTTACTGTCACTTATTCTTTTGAGAAAGGGCATTTGATCATGACATTTGCCTATAATGCAACATTATCTATGTTGTAGGAAAGGTGAGCATTCAGTAATATAGCACTTGTAATTATAGGTGAGCTGCAAGATGAAGGCCACAGATAATATGTCTTTTGGTGATTGAACTGCATGTAATTCCTGTAGAACTTTAGTTTGCAGACTGTTCTCCTGGTGACTTTGTTTTATGTCCTTACTAGAAGATTTACTTTGTATTGCGTGGGCCCTTAACTCAAATAAGTTTTGGTTTTCTTCATTTAAATCATTGTTCTGGGGTGGGGCTAGAATTGAGCGGCTCAGTATGCAGGCTGCTCTGGGGAGAGAGGATAACCCCAGTTATCTCTTACTGCAGCAACTTCGAGCCAGGTGAGAAGCACCTGTCCGTGGCCACTACATAGCCCCTGCAGGGATGCATGTCTACCGGCTGGGGAAGAGACAGGCATACAAACAGACAAACTCTTTGAAATATATAGTATATAGCTGTTCCTTTCTCCACTCCTGCCCCCTGCTAGCCCTATGGGGTAGCAGTCCTAGTCTCCATCTCTTGCCTTCTGCTGCTTTCCATGGTCATTCTGCAGTAAAACTATGTCTCCTGCCAGATGCCTCCCTTTTCATTTTATGAGAAACAATCCCATTCCAGGCACAACTCCTTGTCCTGGCACAACCAAACCCTTACATTGCTTTAAGTTATGATAAGAGGGAGCTGCATACCAAATTTGGTGGTGCTGTCTCTTACCATTTGGGAGAAGTTCATGAACAAATAGACTCATGGACAGATGGACCCACATTTCTAAAATATATAGTATAAAAGATGGTAGTCTGTTTGACAGCCTGGAAACTGAAGAGTTAGAATAGTTGCACCTTCAGAGACAAGTCTTCCACATTCCAATTGTAATGTTTTTATTAACTACGCTTTTTAAAAGATCTGTTCCCTTTAGTTCAAAATAGAAGGATAGAGCTTGTTGAGACTTTAGGGAGTGGCAAATTATGATATATTTTTTTAAAACTGTATCTGTAAAAAGCAAACACTGACATTTCTCTTGCTACAAAAACAGGTGGATTTTGATGCACCTTTGGGGTACAAAGAACCAGAAAGACACACACAACACGAGGAGAACACAGTAAGTTAAGTTCATTCTTGTTCTCTTAAGTGCATTCTCTTTAGCTGCCTTCTCTTTTAACTCTGGCCGTAAAGAAAGCTAATGGAAGCCTCTTTATGAAAAGGTGTTGAGCTCAAACAACTTAGCTATAAATTTTATTTCCCAGATGCTCTTGCCTAAATTTATTTTCTTTGATTTCTTTTCCCCACAGAGATTGTTCATGTAGAACAGCTTATTTCCAGGGCAAAAACTTTGTCCAATAATTGATACTCCGTGAACTTTATAAAATACTTGTAAAAGTTCATTGTGTAGAGAGTTATGTTTATAAAATTTGTAGATGATACTAAGAAGGGAGGGGTTCCAAGTGCTTTGGAAGATAGGATTATAATTCAAAATGACCTGGACAAACTGGAGAAATGATCTGAGATAAATAGGATGAAATTCAATAAGAACGAATGCAAAGTACTCCATTTAGGGAGGAATAATTAGTTTCACATATTGAAAATGTCTAGAAAGGAGCACTACAGAAAGGAATCTAAGGGCCATAGGGGACCACAAACTAAGTATGACTCAACAGCGTGACACTGTTTTAAAAAATTAAACATCGTTCTGGGAAAGACTTAACAGGAATGTTGTAAGCAAGACATGAGAAGTAATTCTTCTGCTCTACTCAGTGTTGATTAGGCCTCAGTTGGAGTATTGAGTCCAGTTCTGGGGAATACGTTTCAGAAAATATGTAGAAAAACTTGAGAAGGTCCGGAAAAGAGCAACAAAAATGATTAAAGGTCTAGAAAATATGACCTATAAGGGAAGACTGAAAGAACTCAGTTTGTTTAGTGTGGAAAAGAAAAGATTGAGAGGGGACATTAACAGCATTCAAGTGCCTAAAATGGTGTCATAAGGAGGAGGGAGAAAAATTATTCTCCTTGACGTCTGATGATGGGACAAGAAGCAGTGAGCTTAAATTGTAGCAAGGGAGGTTGAGGATGGATATTAGGAAGAACTTCCTAACTGTAAGACTGGCTAAACCCTGGAATAAATTGCCCAAGGAGGTTGTGGAATCTCCATCCCTTGAGATTTTTAAGAATAGGTTAGATAAAAATCTGTAAGGGATTATCTAGATGGTGCTTGGTCCTCCCATAAGTGCCAGGAAAGGACTTGATGATCTCTTGGGGTCCCTTCTAGAGATCCCTTTTAGTTCCAGGATTCTCTGAAGTCCATGAAATATTTGTTAATTTTGATTAACAAAGCATGAATATAATTAAACAGCTTTTCTCCTTTCTTTCCTAGGATGTTGAAGCAGATCACAGTGGCTACGTGAGTGACCTAGGATTTCGTGTGAGTATCTTCTATCTGATAGTGTTGAGCACTCTGAGCCTATTCTTTTACTCAGAGCTTTTCTTTTACTTAGAAACAAATATGAAAAACAACTCAAGTCTCACCACTTCACAGGGGCTTGTCTTTTAGTTCTCATCTCTGGGCTTTTCTGGCTTTTCCAGATGAGGCTTCGTTCAGTTACCTCCTGCTTGGTATAGGTGTTTTCTTCTTAGGCCTTCCAAGCATGATGGGCCTTTACTGCCCTTGGGTCCCCCTTTTCTGTGTCTAGGCTGCCTCTGATTGCAGCAGATGCTGCTTTTAGCATGTAATTACACAACAGCTTGACCTGAAAGTCCAGGCTTGGAGCAAGGTGCTGGATCCAGCTCCCTGTACCAGGTATTGCAACTTGCTGCATGAAGTCACAGTGCCACTCAGATTGGGCACAGCCACACTTCTATTATTACAAGGGCAGTGGGGTGCTGTTTGTTACACATTTGAATGAGTAGTGTTGTGGCCTGGTACGTAGGATGGCAGTGCTGCACAGATTTGGCCCATCTGCCCCTCTATCATCATATCCCCAGAGTGGGGAACCGGGCCCAGCCCATGGGATGGAAGCCACTGCTGCAGGGTGATTGAGGTGGCCTCACTGAGCCACTCTGCAACCTCTCTTCGCACTGTCTGCAACCCCCATGTCTCTACTTCAGAGCCTTCTAGCTCCTGAAGGGGGAGAATGTGAAGTTCTTCCCTCCCCCATCATGGATAAAATGAAATAATAGAAAAAAGAAAATCTGGAAAGTTATTTTTTTTTTAAAAAAGGCTTTCATGGATCTCTAACAATCATCTTGCTGCATGCCCTAAAAGATATGTGTAAGAGTCTGTGTAATAGATTCTCACTGCAACGCATTTGTCAGGAATTTCTGAGATACAAATAGAGCAGTAACATGAATTCTGAATTCATAGTAATTATTAGCACTTAAGACTCTGATACATTGTATGTACTGGAAGTAACCCTTAAGCATCTAACAGTACCTAAAAGAAGTAAAAAAATTTTGATAAAATGTTATTGGGAGCACAAACTAGGCATTGCCTCTGGACAGTTGCATAGCATTGGCACTACTATATCAACATACTTGGTAAATAAGATGTAGGCTCTAGAGTAAAAGTTCCTGCCATTATAAATGTCATAAAATGATGGACTCATCTTAAAACAATCATGCTTTTACAGTATTCATGTGCTTAGCTGTTCTGAGATTCAGCCACAAACACCTTTAAGCCAGTCTGACATGCCATCCAGTAATGTGTAGGGATTTGTGCAGTGTAGAACAGACACCCATATGTACTTTTACAGATGTACTCTTGCAAATGACATGCAGTTGATGGTGTGGGAATAAACTAAACTAGAGCACAAATTACACCCTTATGAAAAATCACTGCTGTTACAGCCCAGTTGCCTAGGCCCTGTTCTGTAGTCACTATCGTTTCAGTCAGGGAAGACAAGATGTGATTTTTTTTTTTTTTTTCCAACAGTGGAAACTTAAGATAGACATTAGGAAAAACTTCCAGTCAGGATAGTTGAGTGCTGGAATAAATTGTCTAGGAAGGGAGTGGAATCTCTGTCGCTGGACATTTTTAAGAGCAGCTTAGGCAAACATCTATCAGGAATGGTCTAGATAATTCTTAGTCATGCCTTACATGCAGGGAACTGGACTTGAAGAACTCTTGATGTCAAAGCTATTTCATCAGCCAAAGAGGTGCTGGCCAACAGTGGTGAATGCTCTCAACTATTCTTGACTATGGATGTTAAATTTAGATTAATTAGCTAATTGAATAATCAATGTACTTTGCATCTACTATTTTATTAGTTGATAAGGGCACTTCTGCCTTTGAAGTATATCAACATTTCAAAGGCAAAAACACTGCGGGAAGCACGAGGCCAGTGGGAGACTCAAGTACTCAGGCTCCATGTGGCATTTCACAGCAGGGGAGTCCCCAGCTGACTGTGGGCACCACACAGTGCTGCCACTTTGAAATGCCCTGTGCATGGCCAGCTGGGAACTGGTCCTGGGCGGCATGTGGCATTTCAAAGTGGCAGACCCCGGGCTGCATGCAGCGTTTCAAAGCGGCAGTGTCACATGGAGTTGAAGCACCCCATTTTCTTCCCTCTTCCCTTGCTGCTTCTTTGTGATAGAGGCAGCAGGGGGGAGGAGGGACCCACTAGCTTTCACATCCCTATTCCTGATGAGCCAAGAGATGGGAACTGAAATAACATTCTAGTCTCTTGCATGACACGAGACTCAGGACTAGATTCTAGAGTAAAAATTCCTTATATTATAAATGTCAGATCCTGTGCTTACTTGAGCGTTTTTAATAAAACATGCTTGCAGTGCTCACAAATCTTGAGGTGTTAATTTAACAATTAGGTGAAATGTGTGGAAATGACTTTTTGCTTTATACCTGTAGGCATTCTCTGGCTCTGGGAATAGGCTAGATGGTAAGAAGAAAGGTGTCGAGCCTAGTCCCTCACCAATTAAACCAGGAGACATTCGAAGGTTAGCCCATTTAATTCAGAATTCTATAGTTGGGAAGTCAATGTTTGAACATAATGAATTATTCTTGATTTATCTGCTTCTGAAATGTCAGTAATATCTTGATTTCCACAAATGTATCTGACCAAGTTAAAAATATAATATATGGTGCTTTGAGAGTGATCAGGTTAATCAGATGGCTCCATATCTGTAAAAGTATGAAAGTGTTGCCTCTCTTAGCCTTGTAACAAATGCCTAACTGTTTTAGTGCCTAAAAACATTTTCAGAAGGCATTTAGGCCCTTGAGTCTAAATCTCGTTGACTATCAGTGTATGTACTTTTACAAAACTGGGCCATGGTCTTGTTTTGTTTCCTCACAGGATAAATGCACAAGCATTTCTAAACAGGGCAGACTGATTTAACTCAACACAATTTAAATCACCAATTTTAATCGTGATTTAAATCTGTAACCAGGAAATCTTGACTTAAATAATCAATTCTGATTGTTTTGTGTAGCTGTATTTTTAGTTATTTTCTAAAGAAAAATTGATTCTCACAAATTGATAACCATTAAAACATGTTGAGTTGCAAATAAATATAGCCTTTACACTACATTAGGTGGTTCTTGCTAACAAAGAGGCGATAGCTTATCTTACATTTTATTCAGATTCTTAATCTTTCCTTTTTCTTTATTTTAGAAAATTGTGAATTTCTTATTTACCAGATTATGAGCTTTTTCTCCTGTGTTTTGTATCGGGTTCTAGCTGAAGAGAAATTCAAACGCAATTAAAAATGTGCAGAAATAGCATTTTAATGTTGTAAAATCGAACTATCTTAAAAATGATAGATACATAAGAAAAAAAGCTTATAAAAAGATTTATCAAAATATTTTGTAGTTAAAACTAATACATTTATTAAACATAAAAGTATTATGTGTAATTAAGGAATTGACCTGATTCTCTTTTGTCATATGGATTCGAACAGGAAAACAAGTTTTCTTGCTTTTTCAACCTCCAGTTGGTATTTCAACTTTGAATGAGCTAATCATGTGATTTAATTAGTTAAACTGAAATTAAGAAAATATTTTCTCTCTGCACTTGCAAAAGAGGCTATTACAGTCAAAAGCTGATTTCCACCAATTCAGAAGTTAGACTTTCTTTAAAACTTGGCAGCAAATGTGCTATTCAATATTAATGTTTTATATTCAATTTAAATTATTTTAATAGATTATAGTTAAATTAGGCTGTAATCTATTATCAATTTCTATTTTAAATAGATTTAAAGTGTATTTCTTTTAAATAAAAAATATTGAACTGAAATTTTTTAAAATGCAATTAAAAATCAATTTTCATCCACTCTGCTTCTGAATTAAGACTCACTATAGTAATGGTCCTATTAGTAGAATTTGAGCTCTTTTGGAAAGTGCAGGCATGATCCCTACATATGGCTGTAGACAACTAAAGTGACTCATCACAGGTATTTCTTTGTAATATTTCCTTAGCTCTAGTAAATAAATCTCTGGTCTGAGACTGTACTAGCAAAATAAACCTAATGAGAACTCTTCAAAAGGAATAGTTAAGATGACACTCAAAAAACCAAACAGTCACAACAAACATTGTAGAAAATAGTCCTTGCTACTGTTTGTCCCATTTATTCCCATTACAAGACTCTTAAGGCCTGATTTATACTACATGGGAAGATCGAAATAAGACATGCAACTCCAGCTGCCGTAAATTACATAGCTGAGGTAGATGTATCTTAAATTCCTGTCCACAAAGTGTGAGGTTGACAGGAACAAACACTCCCATCAACTTCCATTACTCCTCACGAGGGCGCCGTTTGAGTTCAATCTAGCAGGTCTATACTACACCTGCTAAATCAAACCCTGGAAGATTGACCACAGCAGCATTGATCTTCCATGTAGTGTAGCCTTAAACATTTATTCTGTACATTAATATCTCAATCTTTCTTTCCCAGAGGAATACCTAATTATGACTTCAAAATCGGTAGGATCACATTCATTAGAAATTCTCGACCACTAGTCAAGAAAGTTGAAGAGGTAAGTAAACCTCTGCACCTTGTCGTATTTGCAGAGAACGTAATGCAGTGGAACTAACAGTCATTAAAGGGGTCTGCATTAGGAATGTCAACATCAACAACATGAAATCAGCTTACATGAGTAACTGATCAACCTGGGCTTATCGGTTAATCCTATCAACTACATGCACTATCCTCCCTCTCTCCCCCATGGTTGCCCCTGTATCAGAGGCAGCAAGGGGGGGTAGGCAGGAGCTGACACGTACAGGGAGCCAGCTTTTAAGCCAACCCTCTGAATATGCTGGCTTCAGTGGAGCTGCTTCCCCCACTCTGCCTCCCAGAGAGGCTGCTGGGATGGGGCAGACGGGAGCTGATGCTCTGAGGGGAAGTGCTGGTTTAAAAGCTGTCTCCCTGTGAGCACCGACTCCTGCCTTTCCCGTGGTAAATGTGTAACCGCTAAAATTTCAAGATACTACACATTTACACAAATAACCAATAGTTAACATCCCTAGTCTGCATTGCTTATTGATCCAACTCCTGCAAACCTGCCCGCATGTTTTGTTTGTTGACTCTGATGCTGCAGACCGATCTAAGGTCAAAACAATAAAGAAAAAATACGGTAACTATAAATTATATAAATTACTGAAATCTAGTTAAAATAATGTTTTAATGACATGAGCAAGGTTCCCTTTATGGAAGACTTTTTAGGGCATATTGTGGTACGTGGCTGCAGTTCAGCATATATCATGTATGTATGTATGTATGTATGTAGTAGCCCAGTGTCTGAGAATCTGTAACGCCGAAATACTGGCTGTTCCCTCTGGGGGGGCGCTGTTGCCTGAAATGCTGGCTGTTCCCTTTGGGCGGCCCATGCTGCATGGGGAGTATGGGGCCCAAACGGCCGCTTGCTCCCCCATGGCGGCCTGGCTGAGTGGTGCAGAAGTCAGCCGAGGGCCATGGCAGGAGGGGAAGGGGGGGGGAAGGATACGTACTGAAATGCTGGCTGTTCCCTCTGGGCGGCGCTGTTGCCTCCCGCTGTGGCACTTGGCTGACTTCTGTGCCACTCAGGCGGGTCACCGCGTGGGAGCAAGTGGCGCAAGCAATTGTTTGGGCTCCGTGCTCCCCATGCAGCACGGGGAGTGCGGAGCCCAAATGGCCATTTGGGCTCCGTGGTCGAGAGACAGAGAGAGAGACCGGAGGCTCAGAAGAGAAGACCGACGTGGAGGAGAGACCTGAAAATCCCGTCTTATGACAGGCTAATTTGCTAGCGAATCCATAATCTCCTACATCCTTAAACAGTGGAAACTATTAACTGCTGGGTCTTTTCCTTCTGTCACAGAATATGCGTAATTCTCATTCATAAACTCCTGTTACATAAATCTGTTAGTCTCTAAGGACTCATCTAGACTATGCTAAAGTGTCGAAAGGGGATATGCAAATTCCAATCTCACTTTAGAAAGCAGAGCTTTTCCTCAAAAAATGAGGTTTACGCGACATTTTGAAAAAGGGGGAGGTTTGCCAAAAAAAACCACGTCTTGACTACTTTCAATCAGAAGAAGATATGCAGATTCCCACAGAATTTGCATATCCCCTTTCAACATTTTAGTGTAGTCTCGATGAACCCAAAGGTACCACAGGATTCCTCATTGTTAAAGCAAAGGAAATTATTTGCCATTTGTGGGAAAATTGGGCCCCTGCTTGTAGCACAGTAAATTGGTAGTATTTTAGCATAATGGATCTTAATCTCTTGTATCACTGAAATAGCTTGTTATTGAGCATGATCAGATCTGCTTTCTAAGCTCTCTGGCTTTGCCAATTCAAAGTCTGTGATTGCTCAGGGAGAACTTAGATTTTAAAACAACTCACTGATATTTAATATTATCAACAAGACAAAAAGCTCATATGTTGTAGGGTAAGCTGAGGCAGTCCATGGTATATCCATATATTCTCATGTTAGTTGACTTAAAAATTTTGCTTTGCATAAGCCTGGAAGAAGAAATAAAAAATGGTAGGGATGCATGGGGAATTTGAGTGCTGCTTTTAAATCTACAAAAGGTTACTTACTGCAACCATAACAACTTTTGGGGAAGGAAACAGTTTTCTTTGTAAATTATGGATGTGAAATCTCAATAGCCAGCGCATTTGTGCTTTTATTACGGAATATTGTCTGAAGCATGTCTTCAGCTTTTTTATTACTGATCAAAGAGAATCTTTCTTCTAAACAACTTTCTCTTTTCCCTTCTACATTCAGGATGAATCTGGTAGCCGGTTCATTGCATTTTCAGGAGAAGGCCAGTCCCTGCGCAAGAAAGGAAGAAAACCATAACTTATGGAACCTTTGGCCAATTGGGGAGAATAAAATAATATTGCACTGTTTTGGTTCCTAGTTACTGGGTTTGAAAAGAGGGAGGCTATTTGTCATATATAACATGCAGACACTTCAGTGTTGATACTACTTTAAAATGGAGTTGGTGATGTAGGAATTTTTTTTTCAATTGAAGATTAAGCTTCAGGAGCTTGTAGTGGTTATTTTTTATGCTAGAAAGAGGAGAAGTGAGAGAAACGCGAGAAACAAAACCATCAAGATGTACCTTATTGAAAGATCAGTTTCTTTCTGCTGGCTTAGTTTGGAAGACTGTGCATCACTTTCTTTGATATTCCCCAACAATGATGGTATCAAGTTGTTCTGAGCTTGTTAGTTTTCCTTGTAAATTTGTTACTATTCTTTCAAACAACCTTTCCAATCCCAGGGTCTATAGAATCCATGGCATGTGTTTAGGTAGCATAGGCCTCAGTGGGAACACTTTGATCTGATTATGTTTTCTTAGCTGTTAAGTAAGAACCAACTTGAGAGATTTCCAAACTCTGACAGAGAACCAAAACCTTGCCTTTTAAGTTGTCATTGCAGACAGGGCTTCATATCTTTCTAATAATTAGGATACAGTAAGTTTGTTTAATATCCAGCAGTTACGAGTGAAACAGTAGAATGTATATGGATGGTAAAGACATGGCTTTGAGTTGTGCTGGGTGAGTACAAATGTCTTGTTCTCTCTTCTTCTAAAATAGTGGTGTGTTTCCCACATCGGACACACAGGATCTTTAATTTTCTCTTCCTCTTCCGTTACACTGACAAGAAACTGTTTATTCGGTCTCCTTAAAAATGAGGTATGCCCCTTTCTCAAGCCTGACTTTACACAGGGCACAGAGGCTGGCCAGGTTTTGACCACCCTCATATAAAGCAACGGCATTTTTTAAAATGTCTGTATCAAACAAATCCACAGTATTCTATTCTTCTCAAAAGCCAAAGCATTATTTGTCTACACTGTGACCTATAGCAAAAAAGGTTCATAGAAAAAAAGTTTCCTTGAAATTGCATGTAGTTTTTTTAGATTTAAAAAAATGTCCACATCTGCTGGCCTCTGGGAGATGGGCTCCTGCCTTTATCACTCCAGAAGTGAATTATAACTAGAATGGCATAATTATCTACCAGAACTGGCAATCTTACATAATAGACAAGAGAGAGTGATCACTCATAGCTGCCTACAATAACTTCCTGAATCACATAATAGAAATTGGATTTTATATAAAAAATGAAGCAACATTTATCTCCTCGCAGTGACTCTCACTTGGTGAGTAACAGTATTGATGCCACTGCCAATAGCAATGGATCTATTTACATAGTTCAGGTTCGAAGTATTCTGGAGAGCTAGAGTTGGAGAGTTCGTTTTGGGCTTATCTCTGTTAGGCTGTTGCTTCTGATGATAAAACTTCTTAAATCTCCTTGGTAAGACATTTTACTCTTACCAAAGGTGACCAATACAAAGGTTTTCAACTAGTATGTGGTTCATGAGAAACTTTGTTTTAATTATAGTTTTTGCTAATAAATAATTTATAATTAAGTAAAGATAATAAACATTGTAATCAAGTTATTTTGTTTCAGCTATACTATACAGTAATTCCTCATTTAACACTATAGATATGTTTCAGAAAATGATCATGTTAAGTGAAAACGTGTTATGCGGGGTCAATTTTCCCATTGAAAATAATGGAAAAGGCGGTGGTTGTGTTTCAAGCGGTGGTTTCTGTTGGGACCAGGACATAAGGTTGGGGGAAAAGGGAAACTGGGTTACAGCAGGGAGGGGAGGTATTTGGCTCTGGAAAAGGGAAGGGGAGGGGAATTGGGTTGGGAGTATGCCCCTGTGACGGGTCTGCTGGGACTTGCACTGCGTCCGGCGATGGGGGGGAGATGGGGAATGGCACAGCAAGCGGCAAACCCTCCGCCGCTTTGCAGGGAGGCGGGGGAAGCCCCGCGCAGCTGCCGGCAACAGGCCGGCTGGGGGCACCCAGCCCCCCGCCCGGCCGCAGAGGAGAGGGGGTAAGGCATTCGGTGAGGGGGAGTCAGCGGGAAACAGCGCAGCAAGGGGCAAACCCTCCACTGCTTTGCAGGGAGGTGGGGGAAACCCCGCGCAGCTGCTGGCAATGGGCCGACTGGAGAAATCATGTAATTCTGGGGACGGTCGTGTAATAAAAAAAAAAAAGTGCTAGCGTGAAAATGTGTTAAGCGGGCACGTGTTAAATGAGGAATTACTGTAATTGGTAATATGATTTTTCTTGCAAGGTGAATGTAAAATCCTCTAGCAGTGGATATTAAATGTGTGCACAGTGAGGAAACAGGTGTCTGAGGGGCTGTGTGGCAGGGGAGAAGGTAACAGGATTTTTTCGTACTGTATAAAATCTGAAGTTACTTGTCAAAAAGAGCAATAGTGCAAAGTGCTTTATAGCATTTTGCATAATTCTCTCTGGTGTGAACCCAGCTGTTGGGCTATGCAGTCATGTGGGCTCTTCTAGTTCTAGGGCTACTGTCCCTCACTAATTTTCCAGATAAAGCATTATCCCCTATTGCTTAGTCTGTTGGAGATGTATTTCCTAACTACTTTTTCTGGTTTTCTATTTGGCAATACTGTTTCTGAAGATGCATTACTAGTGGTGATACGGCTGTACAGAAAAGGTAGAGGATAAAGGCTTGTTTGAAGGTGCAGCGGGAGCTAGATGACTCTGCATGTGTTACTTTGGAGAAACAAGACCTTGCAACATTTAGGGCTAGATATAGGTGGGAGTAGGTCAGTATTTTTCCTCACCATACAGACGGGAAATATAGGCACGGCGCTTAAAAATTACTTTGACGAGATCATACATCATTCCTAACTCCGCAGATCTCTCTCTCTTCCTCTGTATGTGTGTGTATGTATAAAAACTTCTAACTCCCCACTTTGAACATCCCTGTTGTTCTTGGATCAGATACTTCTGCTGTGCACAGAAAAAGCAGGAGCAGCTGTAATAAACGTCTGAACCTTATAACAACTGTGTGCAACTGGAGAACTATTTTTATAATGTTTACACATCCTATTGTTGCTTTGTGAATGTGTGTTGCAATACATTGAATGTGTTTATAAGAAGTCAACAAACCAATATTCAAAGGATATTGTTCAGCTTTTGACCCTTTTGAGGGTAAGGTCCTGCTGATTAATCCCAGTGGAGATGACTGCTTTTACCCTTGCCTCTCCCCCCTTTCCTTTTGTTAGATTTTCCAGGACTGATTGCAAGATCTTTGCCAAAGGCATTCACTACCATGCTGTTCTGATAGCACCCACACGTAGGCTATGTCTAGTCCAGGGGTTCCCAAACTTTTTGACATGGGGACCAGTAAATCCATTCACGAACTTTTGGAGGACTGGTAATGTTCATTTGTATATTTGCATATTCATTAATCAAATGATGAATATTCAAATTGTTTCTGGTCCTCCCAAAACCCCCAGTGCCAGCTTTAGCTTTTGATATGGTCACCCACAATATACTTGCCAGCAAGTTAAGCAATATGGATTGGATAAATGGACTGTAAGACAGACAGAAAGCTGGTTAGACCACGGTTTCCCAAACTTTTTACTTTAGTTGGAACCCTTTTTTTTTTTCAATACAGGCAGTCCCCGACTTACGCGGATCCGACTTATGTCGGATCCGCAGTTACGAACGGGGCTGCCCCAGAGTACACGGACTGCGGGACCTCCCGGTCCTGCCGCCCGTGTACTCCGGGGCTTTCTCCGCATCTCCCTGGTTTGCAGACCAGGAAGACGCGGAGCAAAGCCGCGGAGGGGCTTGGGCAGCGGGGCAGCCCAGGCGTGCCTGGGCTGCCCGAGGCCCCCGCGGCTTTGCAAAGCCTCAGGGGAAGCCGGCAGCGGGACAGCCCCGACGCCCCGCGGGTGGCATCATCTGTGACTAATATGGCTGCTAGGCTGCAAAACAAGTCACGAATATTCTTCCTTGGCTAGAAGGATTTATCTGTCAGATAAGGATGTAAGCGTATGTCTACACTAGCTCATTAATTTGAGCTAGGTAGGCAAATCAGGCAACCGAAGTTGCAAATGAAGCCCGGGATTTAAATATCCCAGGCTTTATTTGCATGTTCCCATCCCCCCACCATTTTAAAATTCCCCTTAGCTCGAACCAACTGCCACTATGTCTTAATTCCTTGGTTCAGATTAACTGTTACAATTCATTCCAGGAGGAGTAACAGTTAATGCGAACCAAGGACTTAGTTCGGATTAACTTTAAATTGCCAAGTATAGCCGCGGGCAGTTTGTTCGAACTAAGGGGGATTTAAAAATGGCAGGCGGATGGGAACATGCAAATGAAGCCTGGGATATTTAAATCCCGGGCTTGATTTGCAACTCCGGTTGCCTGATTTGCCTACCTAGCTCGAATTAACGAGCTAGTGTAGACATATCCTAAGGGTGTTGGTTCTGGCTGGGATCAGTTCTAATTTTGTATTAGGGATATAAATGGGTAACTGGTTAACTGCTTTCCCAGTAAGCACTGCTTTACCGGCATGCTTACTGAGATAACTGGTTAACTGGTATTCCTACTCCAGCCCGGCTGGGCCCACTGTGCCATGCCGTGGGTATGGGGTGATCTGGCCTGGCCAAGCCTACTATGCCATGCTGCAGGCACGCCCTGCCCACGGCATGGTGGGGTGATCCCTGCCCTGCCAGGCCAGAACAGCCCCACACCCACTGGGCCCACTGGGCTGCATCATGGGTGAGGGCTGTTCCACTTGCCTTGTGCCTGCAGTGTGACATGGTAGGATGGTTAACTGGCTAAATGTATAGTTTAACCAGTTAATATTTTAAACAGGCTTTTACATTCCTAGTTTGTATCATACAAATATAGTCTCTCCCTGATTTGGTAAGCTCCATTACTGTTTGCCATTTTTCTCCTGCATTATTATTATTTTATTATTATTTTATTATTATTTTATTATTATTTCCTACAAAATAATGGAATATTGTAGATGGTCCCCAACCCATTCCTCTGTTCTTGCCTGTGGAAATGTATCTTAGACTTTATTGAGTCCTGATGGAATGTATCCATAAACACTGACCTTTTTGAGAACCTGAACAGTATATTTGTCAGCGTGAGTTTGATTTGCAGTTTATTATTATTTTATTATTATTTTATTATTATTTCCTACAAAATAATGGAATATTGTAGATGGTCCCCAACCCATTCCTCTGTTCTTGCCTGTGGAAATGTATCTTAGACTTTATTGAGTCCTGATGGAATGTATCCATAAACACTGACCTTTTTGAGAACCTGAACAGTATATTTGTCAGCGTGAGTTTGATTTGCAGTAACATTATGCTATTCAGTGGATTTGTGCCATTCTCTCAGTACCCAGGAGGTTCACTTGTTAGAGCTCATGTCATTTGTTCCACAGGGTACAAGGGTTACAGGTGAAAATGTGATGATGTGTTAAGAGGACCCTGGCAGCATTGCTCCTTTGAGCACACCTGCAGGGTTGGAACTTGTAATCAGCATGTGTGTTTGTAAATGTCTTTTGTCTGCTGGATGGTGAGTGTGATGTACGGATTCCAGGCATGTCCACTTGTTACCCAAATCAGTGTGCCCTTTAACCTGCCACTTATTATCAAAGTGGCATCTAGGTACAAGAAACAGAATTTGTGTGCTAAGTCTTCTACATCAACACAATGACACAAGTGTATTGTTGGCTAATTTCCCATGTTTGCAGAATGAAGCTGTAAGGAAAGGGCAGTGTGCCTGGCTTCATATAGTGTGACAGGCTGCCTATTTGCTTGTGCACCTTCTTATGTATTTTCAACTCTGTATGATTTCCATACTAATTACAATAGATGAGGTGAATGTAAGGGGCATGTTATGGTTCTGTACCTTCAAAATCTCCTTCCTGACCTTCAGGGGAGCCGTCCTGAGAGTTAATTGACAATGGGTGGTAGAGAGACAAGGTGGGTGAAGTAATAAATTTAATTGGACCAACTTCTGTTGGTGGAAGAGACAAAGAGCTCTTCTTCCAGTCTGGAAAAGGTATCCCAATTGTGAACTCCAAATGCAAGGTGGAACAGATTGTTAAGCATTATAAGAAACCTGAGATCAACACTGAAAACAAGGAATATTTGAGTAATACAGTTACTGTGTCTCATTCTGCCAAGGCCCTAAAATTGGACATAATGTGTTTCAAAAGAGCATAAAAGGGTCAAATCATCCATTGAGGATGTGTAAGAAGTAGTGGGATTCTATAATAATGTTCTCAATTACTTTGTTTCATGATTTGTTTTCAGATGTAATTTTCCAACAGTAAGTGAACTTACAGTAAATGTGCCTTTGGTGCATTTAACTTTGGGAGTGAAACGAGGGACATTTGAGATGCACGCTGAGATCCTTCCTGTTCTTGAATCTGAAAAAAAAACAGTCTTCCCTTGTCAACATAACAATATTTAATTTAGAAACTTTGTCCACATCTAGACTACAGGCTTCTTTTGGAAGAAGCTTTTTTCAGAAGAGATCTTCCGAAAAAACTTCTTCAGAAAGAGAGCGTCCACACTGAAAAAGTGCATCTGCTTTTTCAAAAGAAAGCGTCCAGACCGAAATGGGTGCTCTCACATTGTAAGCTGTGATTGCTATGGATGGAATGGCCACCAGGGCACCTGTGTTTTTTCCTCTTTCCTCTTCTTTCGAAAGAATTCCCTCTTCTCTGTCCACACACACCTTTTTGCAAAAGAACTCTTGCAAAAAGGCTTCTTCCTCATAGAATGAGGATTAACAGTGTCAGAAAACCACCTCCGTTCTTTTGATTTTCTTGCAGAAGAATGCAATTGTGTGGATGTTCCTCAAGTTTTATTGGAAAATCTGCCATTTTTCTGACCATGTAGTGTAGACATACCCAGATAGACCTGCAAGGTATACTTAATTTAAGCTCTGAGAAGTAATTGAGCACCAAAGCAGGCTTGCACTCTACCTATACATTGCTTGGCTGTGGGCAGGTGCCAGTTTATATTAACATTGATGTTAGTGGTTTTTAGGACTCAGAGGCCATGACACTAGATGCTGCATAAAAAATATGCAAGCATCCAAACTTCAACACAACCAGGGCTCCCCTGACATGGTATGTAGAAGGCTACCTGTGAGATTGTGCTACTTAGGGAGAATTCAGCATGCCAACCAGCTCTATTGATGCCACTGCCCTTCACCCTGCCCACTCAAGTTTTTGCTTACTTTTTTGTAAAAGGCGTAATGAGAGAGTGCTAGCGCTAGCACATTCCTACAAGGTAGCAGCTCGCTACATACCACCTGTGCCTGGTCACGGGGTACTCTTATCCCCGCAGACAGTGTTTTAATTGCTTTAGCATCTGCACATCTTCCCTCCTCTCTGCTGTTCCCGCACCGCACGTGGGGGTGTCTCGCGCTGGAAGCAGCACGCGCGCCGCGCACTATCGAACGGCGCCAGAGGCCGAAAGATGCTGAGACGCCGCTCAGTTCAGTCCTTGTCTCTTCATTGGCTTTCCCCGGCCAAGGAGACATGGCAACAGTTTTCTCCCTTGTGGCCCTCGGGCCCGCCCAGCCCCTGCGGTCGGACCCGTATTTTTACACATTCCATGGTGATTGGCTGGAAGTGAGCTGTCAGTCATACGACAGCTTCTGTCCGATTGGCTCCATGAGCTCAATGGGGCTAGGCTCAGGTTCCTGTGCCACGGTCCCAGCCAGCAGCATGGCTGACGGCGGGGCGTGGAGGGTGAGTTCTGGGCTGGGAGCGGAGCCGGCCGCACGGGACCGCCCAGTGGTTCGTGGGGGAGGGCTGCCTTCCTCTCTGCCCGTTAACGGCCCCGCTGTGCGCGGGGGCCCGCAGCTGGGGGCCGGGTTGCGGTTGGCGATTCCAGGGGATGTGACCTTTTAATTCCTGGAGGGTTGGCAGCGCTAGTCCCGGGGACTTCTGCTAATATCAGCCCGGGGCAGCTGGGCTCTTACAGGATTGCTGCCAAACCAGCCCTCCCTCCTGTGCAGCGAGGCCAGGCCCAGGCCTGGGGGTTGTAAATGCATCCGACCCTCCTGGCACGAGGAGTGGGCCTAGGGTCCTACAGGGAGTCGGTGGCAAAGATTGAGAACAGAGATACTGGCTCAAGTGCTCTGAGCAGTAAAGAAACTATATGTTTCAGGGTGAAACTGATAGGATTGCTGCCAAACCAGCCCTCCCTCCTGTGCAGCGAGGCCAGGCCCAGGCCTGGGGGTTGTAAATGCATCCGACCCTCCTGGCACGAGGAGTGGGCCTAGGGTCCTACAGGGAGTCGGTGGCAAAGATTGAGAACAGAGATACTGGCTCAAGTGCTCTGAGCAGTAAAGAAACTATATGTTTCAGGGTGAAACTGATAATGTAGACAATATTAGTCTCCAAATTATATCCCTTAAAATTAGTATTATCTTCAGATGTGCAGAGAGAGTCTGCAACTGGATTATGTTTTAGCATTGCAACACTTCCCAGGGCCCACCCTCACCGGAGAAGATTTCTTTGTCTCTGCTCTTTGGATTAATGTAACAAAGACAGTCGGACTTTTGGTTCCAGTTAGAGGAGCAAAAACATAACAATAGCACAGTGCTGAATTTCAAAACACAGTACACTGAGACAGCATTTGGGAAAATTCCCACATCAAGATAACTGAAATGAATGGGACAGGTTCGATTTTCCCCCATTACAATACAGATTGGGCATTTTAATCCCAGAAACATCTTGTACCTTACTCCTGAGGCCAAATACAGTATCAGGATTCTTCTCCTGCAAGCATATTCTTAACATAATTTTTGCTATTTTATCAGCCTCCACGAACATGTGAAGATTATTGGTCTGAATGGAAACACTGCAAGGGCATCCGTAATTTCTTCCACAACTATTATACATATGGGGAAGTACCCTCCTGTGAACAGTGGAAAATAGACTACAGCAATTGCAGAAAGTGGGAAAAGAGCAAAAGTCCAGATGCTAAGGTACAATAAATGCCAAATTGAAAACAGTATTAAGAATGGTATAAAAATAAACTCTGTATCAGGCTTGCAACATGGTCATCAGGATTAATCTACCCTAAAAAAAATCTACTCATCCTCCCATATCACAGTAAAGAAAAACAAATCTATTATGTATTTGAGAGAGTCTGTCTGCCTGCCTGTTTAAGAATTCCTCCTAAACAGTAAGAGCTAGGACCATCAAATTTTGTTTGTTTCTTATCGTAATTTAAGACAAGGTAAGGGTTTGGTTGTGCCAGGACAATGTGATGTGCCTGGAATGGGATTATATCTCATAACACAGAAAAGGAGGGAAGTTATATTGTAGAATGACAACATGGGGGTGGGGGAGGGACGCAAGGTGCCACAGATGGGAACTGGGACAGCTATAATCCCTTTGGGGCAGAAGTGGAGAAAGGGAAGGCTATTTACAGAGAGTTTGTGTATGGAATGGGAATGCTTCTCATAAAGCTATATAGAAAAGCAACATAATGACCAGGTGGATAAAAAAGAGTGGCTGGAAGTGTCTCCCCCACCCCTCACTCCATCCAGCACTGCCATGGCCCCAAGCCTCCCACCTCTCTGGTGCTCTTTATGGAGGGTGGGAGAGCTGAAGCTTTTCTCCCTCCTCCCAGATTTGTATAGGGATGTATAAAACCATACAAAACAGAAACAGTATCACCAGACAGGTGAAAGGGGCAGCAGACACAAAAAATAAAGTTGACCCCCTCCCATCTGGGACTCCTGGAGCCTTCCACTCCAGATGCTCTTTTGGGAGGGTGGTGGGGAGATGGAGGAGGGATGAAGCTCCTCTCTCCACCTCTCCCATTGATTCATTGGTATGTGAACATCGGTAGCTGTTCCCCTTAGAGAGCAAGGGTAAAGTGCACAATTCCTCACTCAGACTGGGGAGCAGACTAGGAAGATGAATCTGGACCTGTCCCAGCTGGGGGACATGCACCCCTCCCTCAAGTTGCAGCAGCCATGGAGAAGTTCTTACCTGGCCCCAGGCTGTTTCAGTGAGAGAGGACTAGGAGTCTTCTGACCCTGGGCAACCTGCATACTGAACCCCTCCCCAGCAGTGATTCAAATGAAGTATATATATACATTTTCATTTTATTTTCCAAGAGTTAAGGACCCAAATAACACCAGGTAAATCTTCTAATATTTTGATAAATGAGAAAAACTGAAAGTACTTCCACAATTGAGTGAACAAGAAAGTTACAAGACTGGTTTAATAGATATAGAACAATAGTTATGTTAGACCTTTTCTGTGTTTGTGAGGCACTATGTAGATGATGGATAATTTTCCAATACATGCAAATCTTTGGTGTACTTTGTTTCTGGGAGAGGGGACTAACAAATCCTTTAAAAATAACTAAATATTGAACCTACACTGCCTTCCACTGTCTTTTTCAATCCACAACCTTTTCTTCAAAATTAGATGGAAAAAATATCTTGCTAATTCATACAAATGTTGCCAGTAAAATCTTATCTACTTCCTATTATTTTGACTGTATTATCTTTTCTTCAGTTCTCTCCATTAGTTCCCCATTATATTATTTCAAAGCTAAAACTTTGTCATTGCTTTTAAGAGCCAACATCATCTCAGTATATAGCTCTGACTTTACCTCCTTTCATGTTCTACACCTTCTCCCTTCTGCTCTAACATCAGCCTTAAGTTTCCCATTTCCCTCTCCAGTGTCTGCCTTATATATGCTATTGCCTAGATTCAAAACCTCACCATACCAATTCACTATATTCCTTCCCTCACTCAAAACTCTCCCAGAAATCTCAATTGTGCTGTCTTGCTAATGAAGAGAGAAATTGAAAAAACAAACCCTAGCTTAATAAATTGCCATTGAGGCATACAGAAATAAATACTAGAGGTATTAGTGCTACTATTATTTGAAGCTCAGTTTGTTAGGATTATTAAGATTTATTAATCAGATTTTAATATAGCATTTAAGACAACAGAGGGGAAACTTTAAGAGGATAATGGATGCCCAGCACTGTCTGAAAACAAAGTCTTTTGAAAGCATTTCAACACTGAATGCCCCAAAATTGAGGCATTTAAAACCAATAGCTACTTTTGAAAATGTAAGTCTTAAGGTTTGGGGTTTTTTCTCTAAAAAATAATGATTTTTTGATAGTAATTATTTGTACTGGAGCTTTGGCCTTTTGCTATCTGTATATGCTTTAAAAAATTATAATAAACTATATGTCAAACATTTTCTGCTATGAATTTTCCTTTTGTTACGGTTACAAGCTGCTGTCATTTTGTATAGAAAATTAAAATTTATTATTTTCCTTAAACATGATCACCAATAAGAAATAACTTGAATTGTGAGAGTAGTTAATGTATATAATGTGCTTTGAAAATGCAGCAGACTAAGTATTGAGTATTATATTGTCATTCATTGCAGGAATCTCTATGCAAGAGTGAAAGAGCCCGAATTCTGGAAAAACAAAAGTATGATCCTGTGTGGAAGCTGAGGAAAACCCCCCCAAGGGACTGGTACCTCCCTCTTGGTCAAGACAAATCAAAGTAATAAGATTACATATCATATTTGGCTCTCCTACACTAGAAGTGGGGCCAATGCTATTTCTCTCCATGTGATTCTGAAGTAAGATTCTAGCCTCTAAAAGAGACAGACTTCTAAGCATATACTTCAGCTCACAGCAGTCACCCACCTCATCAGTGCCTCTTTTTGAATACATTTAATGATGTTTAAGAAATATCTTATTGTGATGTAAATATTTTAAAAGAATAGTTCAGGAGCTGAAGCTAATTCTCATCTGCTACAGTCTTCTGCCTTTCACATTTCCTTTCCCATTCACCCAGACAAGGACAATGCCTACTGCTTTGGCTCAGAATACATTCATGCAGCCCTGCTGCTATTGGTATTAGAGCCTCCCCTTTCTTTCCATGCTGTCATTAAGGTGTGCACAGTATCAGGCTGTCCACAAGAGGTAATAAAAAAACTAGCCCTGTCCATTGACAATATAGTCATCTGGATTCCACAAGCAGCTGGTATTTGAAATAAAATTTGTACAGATGCAGTATTGTGATCCTTAATATAATAAGCTGCGGGACAGCAGATACAGAAAATAAAGTTGATCTGCCAGCTATTTGCCTCTGTAAAATTATTTTCAGGCATTTTTTGTTCTTAAATAAGTACCACAAAAACATTACTGACTTTTTCAAGATGAGTCTTATAACTTTAAGCAAAGTAGTAAAAAATGGCATCTTGTATCACACTAGCCATGCAGTATAAAAAACTCTGTATATTTTGCCTTGTCATATTTATCACATCGGTTTTCTTGTTAATTTGCATAGACACTTCAACAAAATCTAAATTAGAGCTAAAGGAAAAACTGACTTGTCTTCCTACTACAAGTAGACTGACATATGATTGCCTTAACAATTTTCTTCATGGGATAACTGTGCTCTCAGGAATTATGATTTTTCCAAAATGAGGAGTTATTACTTACAGAATATTTCCCCCATTATTTATTAAGTGAAAAAATAATGTACATTGTACACAGTACCCTGCAGGGAATGCTGCTTCAGTTGGTGGCACATATAGTACAGCATAGGGAGGTTAAAATGCATTTATTTTTGTAAACGTGATGGCTGAAAATTTCAGAGGTTACACGTTTACACACCTAGGAAGGACCTAGTGCCCACCTGTTCCCTCCCCTCCCGATGCTGTTTCTGTAAGAGGCAGCAGTGTGAGGGGGAAGGCTGTTCTGGGGGAGCCTGTGCTTTTGGTGTGTCAGCTTTGAGGCTGGCTCCCTCTGATCACTAGGTCCCACCTTTGCCCCTGCCTCTGGCAGGTAGCAGAGTGGGGTGAGGCGTCTCCACAGGAGCCAGCACATGCAGGGAACCTATCATGTACGGGGTCCCAACTGTCTCCCCCGGGAGCCCTGCCCGCATTGCTGCCTCTGGTACAGCCAGTTTAAAAGCCGGCTCCTATTGCCTCTGATGCAGGAGGTCAGGGGGAGGGGAGTGTAACAGTATACCCACTAACATCCTTAGTACAGTAGAACCCTGTTTCTGGTGTAATTAGGACCAGGGCCAGATTATATAATCAAAACTCTGGCTAAACCAGTTTCTGGCCCTGGCATCAGAGTTATTTGGTAAATGCAGAGAGCCTTTAAGGTGTCAAATGAACAGGGTTCAATGTATTTTGCTTTTATTGGAGTTTTTATTGGCAAGATGGACAGTTATAAAAAGAAAGAAACAAGAACAAGATGGTGTTTTTATTTTCATTTGACAGCCATGTGCATAGGGATATTAGAAAAAGCAGACAGAATAGTTTAATCTTATCCCATTGTGTTGTCCTTTAAATGCACTGAGTATCTCCTGACAGCTGTGCGGCAGAGTCTTCTGATCTCAGTGTGTGTACACTTTGGTAACGTCAATGCATTTCCCTTCAGGAGCCTCATAGCCAGGAATCTGTGGTGTGTAACTAGGCCCCTCTTTCTCATAGGGAAATAGGTCATCATCTCGTTTTATTGCTGCTTGGTAAAGTTCTTCTGATTCAAGACGCAATTCGTTTAGTGCCTCCTCCTGAGCTACCATAAGAGATTTCAGTGTTTCCATCTCTGCATCATGCTCTATCTTCTTGTACAGGGCCCACTTCTTCAGGAGTAGGGCTCGCCTTTCACTTTCTTCAAAGGACAGTGGGGAGATCTCACGCACTCTGGCAGAAATGAAAGAACAGAACTTTCACACAAGCTGCTCACATCTCAAGGAGCAAGCATCCAGCAAAAACTACAGTGACACACACAGGCAAGTTGGCCCAAACACATGATGCTTTGTATTGTCTTTATGTAGGGTCTTTTCATAGAATCATAGAATACTAGGACTGGAACGGACCTCAAGAGGTCATCGAGTCCTGTCCTCACAGCAGGACCAAGTACTGTCTAGACCAGAGGTCTCCAAGCTTTTTACACCCAAGATCACTTTTTAAATCTCCGAACAGGCGAAGATCTACCGCCCTGCCCCTTCCTGAAGCCCTGCCCTCTCTATTCTCCTCCTGTCCACCACTTGCTATCCCCAGCCCTTACTTACACACTCTGATAAACAGTTTATTTTTAAATTATGCGATATATAAAATTAATATCATGTTTATAGTTATGAAATAAATGGTCTGTTTTTTATTCATGCTATTTAAATCTAAAATGAAGCATTTATAATTATACATTTTGTGGGGACAGAGTTCTGCGGTGGGGAGCAGGGAAGAGGGAACAGGGTGCTGGGAGGGCAGAGGACAGGGTTCTGCAGCAGGGGACAGAGTGCCAGTGGGGACAGGTTTCTGCAGCTGGGGACAGGGTGCCAGTGGGGACAGGAATAGGGACAGAGTTCTGTAGCTGAGGACAGGGGAGTGAGAACAGAGTTCGGTGAGTGGGAACAGGGGAGGGGACAGAGTTCTGTGGCTGGGGGCAGGGGAGGGGGGGGAGAGGGGGGGGGACAGAATTCTGTGGCTGGGGACAGAGGAGTGGGGACAGAGTTTGGGGAGTGAGGAGGGAAGTGGGGACAGAGTTCTGTGGCTGAGGAGTGGGGTGCCAGTGGAGGCAGAGAGTCTTCTGCCTCTGCCTCCTGCCAGGATTCTCTCCCCCCC